CTCTGCCAGAAGATGCTGAGAAAAACCTTCGAACCGTCGCAGCAGTCGCATTGCGCGTCTGCAGTGAGGGGAATAACTACTTCAACGACTGTTTTCCTCTGAGACTGTTTTCCTCTGAGACAGACAATACCCACAGACAACAAAATGATTAGTTACTGCACTAAACACAGCGCACTGATACGGTATACGATTGTCGTTGAATGACTGGAGTGGACTGGACGAGTTCACGGCACATACAGTGAATTTCCCGCCATCCATAAGTTCCACACTCTTTTGGACATAATGTTTTTTTATATTGCTGTTTGATAGCATTGACAAAATTTCATCATTTTCTCATTTTGTTGCAAGTACCTCTTGTTTTATATCGTTGTTGGATCTCATTCCACTATTTTACCCTTCATTAGGAAATTTTCTTTAGCTAGTGTATTCACGCACTCAATACGGGCAAACAGCATGTCAGGCAATTGGGATGACACTGGTGGGTAGATTCAAAACTTAACTCTATGTTGGTATAAAGTTTTTTTAGCGATTTTTACTGAAGACTCGTGCTTTTAGATAGCGATGCTGAAGTCGTTGTCGTTGAGAAGCCGGTGATTCTACCGCGCGCTCGTCAACCGTCCATCGCCAAAAGTCTGGAAAAAGCTGCTATTCTGGAAAGTTCAGTGGCTGGATCCGTGAAAGAGAGCGATGCGGTGGGGTTTAACATCTCTTAAATTCAATTATGAAAAGGACTGCTTTACTGTGGTCCAATAGTTTGCACGTTCGCCTTTCTTGTACCCTGGCTCAATGTTTCTTTACTATGCCGTACAGGTTTGTATGGTGGAAGTGTTTCTTTTGCATGAGTTACGGTATCGTCGTTATCAAAGGCCTGAAAGCATCTCGAAATTTATGAAGGCTATGGATCCAGTTAAACCTAACCCTGTGGTCCAATACTTTGCAGTATTCCGTAATCAATACCATCTGTCAGCTGTAATTAGGACGCAAACATCCCGTACGTGCATCGTAAGGGGTTTTCCAGAACGAGTTCTAGAATTCATATTGATAGCGTGATCAAGGAAAATGAACGAGATATCATGGTACGCATACGCTCCCTTCGTATTTCAAAAAATACCCACTCCAGTGTAACACAAACAACTATATGGCTTAGAAATATTTTCAGGATGAAAACTGAGAGATCTTTGACACTCGTTGACGTTTAAGACAACGAATAGAGCCTCTTGAACTACTGCTTTTCTTCACTGCTGCGCCCTTGTCTTTACTCTAGAAAGAACGTTAAAAAACAGTCAATCACAAGGGAACGCTGCTAGGATTTAGCAGCGTTCGTGCCTTGCGAACCTGAGAATCGAAGACCCGGCTAGTCGCGGAATTGAATGAATCGAAAAAAAAACGCGAAAGGGGCTGTATAAGGGCTGGGAAAGATCGGCCTACCTAATATTTTTGTGCATTCTCCGATTCTGTCCATTCCACATTGCACAGTTCGACGATTCTGCGGCTTTCTTTGGTGTGCATTTGCTGATTTTCCGGCTCTTCGTTCCTGCGGTTCGCTGTTTTGGTTTTTTCAGTATCGTAAGTTATGGGCAGGCATTAATACCTTCATGCGATAGAAGCGGAATGTGCCTTCTTAGTTATTGCCTGGTTACGGCTGCGGCTTTTCAGGAGTGAGAAGTAGTTTCTTGCTTGCCATCATTATCGTTCTACGATCTCGAGGCTTTGGATGTAACTTGGGGAATAAATAGATGATGAATCGGTTTCGGGTGGGCCCATAAGTAACGGAGTTTTTTGCTAAGTTGAAGTTCCGCACAGAGTCTTATGGCACCCGGTAGGGAATTCCTGCTCCTGCACGGGCCGTGTTTATCGTCAGTTCCTCATGAAGGTTCGTTTCTGTTATTTTTTCGAATGAGTAAAGTGTCAAATCGGCAAAAATGACCATTTTTCACTTTTTCAATAAAAAACTGAAGCTGGAGCAGCCCTTTTGTGTAGAGTTTAACTAAGAGGGAATGCTCCTCAGGATGGGGTGATGAGATGTGAACGATTCGACGATTTTAATTTCATCCTCGCAGGCAGGCACCACAGAGGGTTCATAATGAGTTCCCCACTGAATAGGCTCACTCCTGAGTTCCTACTCCGGATACTATAGAATTGATAGGAATTGCTGCTCCCAATTTTCGCGCGAACGTTGAGCATCACCTTAACTTGGGGGGGGGGGGAGGGAGGATGAAAAATTGGTCCTGAGAGCCTCACGCAACAGATTGCTGTCGAACCTAAAAATACGCTCGCTACGATACATATTTGCGAGGTCGAAATTCCCAGCACAAAGACACTGGAACCGGTTTTAGGCCGCTCTAGGAGGCAGTATTGCTTCGTTTGACAACTTTCGAGCTGTTTACGCTGCTCCCACTGCCTCGACCTTACGCAAAAGCCTTGTGCCAAAATCGCCTGTTTTTACAGCTTGACGCAGAGTGAATGTCCGAAAAATTGACAAAAACTCGTATACACTTATCAGTTATCAACTATCATGGCGCTACCCAAACATGAGGCATTCTATTTGTAAGAACATGAAATTCTCTATCAAATAACTTCATAGAAAAGTTTCAAAGAGGAAATTTTTCTCACAACAAATTTTGTGTTGGGAAAAACGCCTCCATCTAGGCTGGGTTCACACTCTGCGTCAGCCGGCGAATACCAGAGTATGCCAGTGTACGCCAGAGATTAGGAAAGTATGGATATCGTTCTAGCGTACGCCGGCGCACGCTACCGTATAACCGCGTTTTCGCGAGCAGTTTTGCTCAAAGTCAAATGACAGCTAAATGCCGTAGTGTTCACGTAGATCGGATTATCTAATTCATAACAATGGTGCTGGCGTACGCGACGCAAGTATGAATGCAGCTTTATACTTAACAATCGGCTGTGTCTAGGGGTGTGTGACACACTGTCCGATGGAAAGCTTTATTGGGCTGACCGTCGGCAAGAAGGGGGTTGCACAGAATGAAATGCTGGCTCACAAGGGAGGTCGCTCAGGCCGTGGTGAGCTTTTTCAAAACGGTTTGTTGCATGTTGTAGGGGTCCATGCAAGGACCATAGCGATGGGGTTCATTTTTGCTAAACGGTTCTGGGAATGTCAAAAAAAGGTCAAAACAATTCGAAAAGAATGGGCTTTTTAAACCACCTTATTCGCCTCTGTTCTAGCTGTAGCGTTGACAGGGTATATGTAGGGTATCCTTTGAGCAGGCATGAAAAACAGCGCAAAATAAGGTCAAAATCCAAATGGTCTACTTGGCATGCGGTGAGCTGCATTGGAGTTTTCCGGTCATCTGCGCGTATCTCTTCAACAGGTCCTGTATCTCTAGTGTCGCAGTGGCGGATGGTGTGGTGGATAGTGCGACGGGCTCTCGGTCGGTGGGTTCCTGGGTCGGATCCCCTTGCCGACACAATGTTTGCATTTTTCATATTTCTTGCTTCTTGTATTCCTGTATGCCCCATAATATGTATGACCCGGATATGCATCTGAAGGCACATTCCAAGCGGGAACGGTTCACAAAGTAGGCCTCAATTATTACGCTCGCGAAATACTATCGAAAAAACTCTTCATGAAACTTGGGTTACGGCGGTTATCCGATGCTCTGATCATGAACACGACACTCATTTTTGAATATGGCGCAAGTGTGTCGCTAAATTGGTGCAAAGGCTTTCTCGTACTACCATCATTGTCAGTCTGCGCGGCGGCGGGGCTATTTAAGCGCCATACTTCGCCCAGATTGGCTCGCCGCGCAAAAATACAGTATCTGACGGTGATCAGGCGCATCAATGACCCTACGTATAGGAGTGTACACCGAGAAAAATTTTCCCGAGCATTTTGTGTTAATGTTGCCGGCCATGTCTCCAGCTAGTGGCTATCAGCCCCCCCCCCAAGGAGTCGTTATCCAACATCGTTAAGAGGAAGCTTTTCATTTGCTAGTATGCAGACGCAGAATTAAAAACTACACAAAAAAGTGACGCACATACACTGCACTCCTCTCATACCTTTGATATGAGAAAAAACCTTTCTCCGGGCAAGTGGTAACGTTCTTTTGTCGAAAGCAGCATAGACGGTAAAAGTGAAGAAAAAGACAGGATGCTCGTTTAGTGGCTCCGAAGCTAGCACGATGTTCTATGAAGACCTACTGAAGTTGAGGGGCAAGAAATGAAAAATTTCTGGCGGTTCGTCTGCCAGAGAGGATACTTAACGGAGGGTTCGCCTGTCACTGCCATCCAAATGGTCAGGTCCATGACCACTAAAGAAACTCGAAAAAATTTTTCGCTGAAACCTCTTTACATAGGGGTAATCACAATATTCTGACAATTATTTATGGCGCCGACGTGATCGGGGACCAACGTGGCACTAGAAGGCCACTGCGAGAAGGGATGCTGCATAAGCCCCTAAAGAAATTGCAGTGTACCTCACTGTATGCCAAGTAAGGCACTTGTATGTCGACTTTATTCATGTCTAGTTGATAAACACTTTATAACACTTCTATGTATT